TTTTTTGTTGAGTTCCAATTGTAATGAACTGATTTTATCTTGTAATAAGTTGCTGTTTATTTGCAATAGTTTGGTATTATCAAGTAGTAAATTGTACTTATCTTCCTTTTCTTTCAGGATTTGTTTCAGCATATTGTTTTCCATCCTTAGTTTTTCTACTTCACTGGCACTGTTGAGAGCACCTTGCTTCGAATCACAACAGTTTATTCTGCTGTCACATATTTTTATGCATTTTAGCTTATTTTTTGCAGCACATGATAGATGGTAACTATTTCCACATACTACACAGGTTAGGGTCTTATTAGTTTTAGTTTGACAACATTTAAAAGATTTATCTTTGAAAGTTTCTTCAGTTACTATGAGAGCATCTTTCACGTCGCCCGACGCGACCGCCATATTATAGTTGTGTAATCATTGAAAGATGTCGACTCAAAATGTAAATCAACTGTATTTTTTGCTATAGTCGAAAAGTACGAACCGAAAGCATCGGCGATCTCATTTGTGTTGTGGGCCAATTTATTATTCAGTAATAATTCGCGATCTATTTTTCGTCTTTTTCTTCCAGTTTTATTATTAACTATATTCCAAATTTTTTTCTGTTTCTCCTGTTGAGTTTTATTTTCAAGTGAGCCCTGATTGAATGCATACTTTGCCTCATGTATCTTCTTCTTGTATATTTTTTTCGAATCATTGGAATATTGTGTAACTTCTAAATCTCTCACATTTTTAGATAACAAAAAAAGATTTTTCAAGTCATTCCCCATGAGAACTATATCTTCTGTGACCCATTGTTTTCTACTGGACTGAATATCGTGATTAATGGTTTTTTCCACAGAAGGACACGTTAAATTTATCCAATATATAAGTATATTCAGAAATGTTTCATAGGCACATTGAATGTTAGGAATACTCTCATAAATAGAATGAAAACTTTCATTCTTCAAACAATCTTGGAGTCTCGCGAGATTCTCAGAGCAGGTGTTCATAAAGCTTATTTTCTTTCGGGTATCTCTCTTATCTATAGTTTGATCAGAGAGTTCGAAAGAGAGGCATGAATGATCCGCGAGGTTCACATTTAGTATTTTTTCTAGATATAGAGACTGACAAATATTGGTTAAAAAATAGTCAATTTTAGAGCTACTAGTTCTACCACTTGTGTTAGTGAAAATTCTGGTTGGTTCAAAGTTTTTGAAGCTGAGGTTGAAACTATATAACAAATCTTTCAGTAATATTTTATCGTTTGATTCACATGAATAGTTGATATTGAGGTCGCCACATAATATAATATTTTTGAATTTCCTATCACAGTAATCTAGAGCATGGAAAAGTCGATCCAAGAAATTGTCGACACTACCATTTGGCGGTCTATATAGGGTAATCAGACAGTATTTTTCGCCATTCATAGAGAAAGAAATTGTACAAGTTTCGTACTCTAATTCTACAGACATATTATCTAAAATGTCTTCATTCTTGTATTTTATTTTACTTTGTGTTAAAATTAATACGCCACCATGAATATGGTGTTGTCTCGTGAAATGAGATGCAACTTCATATCCATCAAAATGTACAGTGTCTATGTTTGTGTTGTTGCACCAAGTTTCTGATATACATAAAATATCCGGCTTCTCTTCAAATAAAATCAACTCAATTTGGTTCGTTTTGTTCAAAATACACTGAGAATTCACGTGCATAATTTTCAAACCTGTTTTCGAAGTACTCTTGGTTTTAGAAGCTGAATCAAAAATTCCCCTCCGATTGATGGTTTCGAAAGGACTTGCGAAACTGAAACCTTTTTATTATTACTTTCGTTGGCCAATGCTTTGGATCATATAGAGTATCAAAAAGAGTCATGTCCGCTCCTATTTTGAAAGATTTATATCTTCCTTGTGAATTTAATTCGGTTACTTCAAACTCATATCCAGGTGACCGCTTTTCTAGATAAGATTTCACCTTATCGGTGGTCGTTTGTGGCTTACAACGGCCCACGTATAGCCAAAGCATCGGTTCGGCTCCACTGAAATCGTCAATATCTTGCGATGATTGTGTTCCCACGACATACCTCATTTTGTTCCTCTCATTCTTTCTAGTCGACTGCGTCTGATGTGTTGTAGATTTCATGTTGGATGTAGTCTGATATTTATTAGTCTTCTTTCTGGTTTTTACTTCGGTTCAATTTTCCTTATCTATGACTTTTTCTTCGATTGGTTCACGTTCTAAGTTGGGAATTACAGTGTCTGCCGATGAGCATGATATAAATGATTGATCTAAGTCACATATAACATTCACTTGTTCGTTCTTCTGAGCAGGGTTGCTGCTCAGTAGTCTTATCATGTCAATGTTTGATTCTTTGAGATTTTTTATTTCTATTTTCAAGTTCGATATCTCTTCAAGTAGTGGTATAGTGTATTTTCTCAACTCATCTGCAAAGAATTTTTTGAGTTCTTCAGTTGCTGGACTATTACACTCCGATGTAGTCGTACGAGTATTCACCATTTTCACAAATATAATATGCAATCACAAAAAAACCGTTTATCCGTAAATACAACTTTCTGGATTCGTTACACAGGTCGGGTGAGTATCGGTATAAAAAACAACAGGAATGAAATGAATCTATAAACAGGATGAATACTAATGGTGAAAAATATTATACCAACTTACATGTGCAACAGGAAATCACTATACATTAATACGTTACAGTGGTTTTGAATGAACTATGAGAGCACTAAGGGATCAGCAAGAGAACCAAGAGCTTGAAGAGCAAGTCGAGCAGGTATAGTGTAGACTTGTAGAGAAGAGAGTGATCCCTTAGCTGTCTTCAGTATTTATATTTCCCCCTTGACCTCGATACAAGGACAATTCGATCCTAGGTTCTTATTGGTCGGAATCTTCAACTATGGCTGCAGGAACTATCATCCAAAAGCACATGTTCTTGAACTCACAAAAATGCGGAAAAAATTATATTCAACCCTAAATGGGCACAGGAACAGAATCTACTACCCTTGCTAATGCTACTGAATGAATTTGACTGGAAAATATCCAATAACAAAAAAGTTATGACCAGTTAAACAGCCATCATTTCAACTGATAAGCAATTCACTCAAATTTCATATCATATGCAAAGGGTTGAAAAATATTGAAGTCTTTAGGGTTGTAATGATGTTCATCAGAGTTTACTATCAGGAAAAGTTTTGGAAAGTCAGGAATCAATGAATTACTTAGCTCTCTCAGGTTTTCAGGTTACTTGCTTTCGAACAAGTGAAATTCAAGTAGAATCAGTCTCAGGTTACTTAGATATTAATCAAAACCAGTCTAGTAATGAAGCTGGTCAAAAACACTTCATTACAGCGTGGCATATAGCCAGGAAAGTAGTTGTTTTTCTCTCGTTATCTACCAAGGTTGGTAGAACTGATGACTATTTTGTAGAGGAAGGTTGCCTCGATCGCACCCCGCGAGTAACCTTGAGTAACTCATGACGTAAAAGGCCCTTTCTTTTGCACGAAAAGTGTAGCACTCTCGTACACTTCGTGTATGATATGTACGCCGGCGATTGGCCGGCGCATGTATTGAGTTGACATTTGTCAGTATTTTCGAATATTTGAACCATTCTGAACCTAAAAATGTAAAAATGATAATTTGTTCGGTCAATTCGTACAAGTGTAATGAGACTAGTGAATTTAGTTTGTGTTTCCATTAATTTCCATAAGATGAGTCGATTCGTGAGAAATGGATTCAATTTTGTGGGCGTAATTTTAATTCATTTAATACCAAAACTTGGCGAATATGTTCTGCCCATTTCGATGCCGAGGATTTTGAACGGCACAACAAAATTGCTAAATCACACACCAAACAGAAGAAAACTCAAGGTAGGAATCCCATCAATAATACCAAATACAACAAGAGAAACATCATAAGTATGGAAGTTTGGAAAAATGATCAGAACCAGACCAGTTGTGAATGTTGAGATTCTTGCTGAACGGGTAAAATGGACATCAGAAGATATCACACGTGTTTTCAAGTTGAGATATTTGAGCAAGAGTACGTTACCCAACGAAGAGGAGCTATGTTTATTCGAGAGATTCCTTGAACTATCCTTTATTATAGGTTCACTTATAATAGTAGTGTTATTTTTCATTAATTTTGTTCAGAATCATATTTTGTTATTTTTTTATGCTCAAATACTTCGATCAATTGCTCTGTTTTTGACTACAATATAATCAAACAATGAAATACTATTTCCTCTTGTATTTTCTATAGGTATCTAGGAAAGTTTGTTAATTTTTCAGAATACAGAGTTATATTGATAAAATAAGTGATCTGTTGTGTACGAATATTGGTCCACTGCTACTACTTCTGGATCATCAGTTGATTATTCTTATATTTTCTGTAGTTTCTTGTTCACATTATCTGATTTGCAGGATATTTATAGGATGAGTAGGTTCATAATCAATGCATAAGTAATCACTAGCTCCATAATTATGCTCCATACCTCAAAACACACATACATACCTGGTACCACGACCTGGTAAATATAGCTCCTGGAACAAAATTTCAGATAGGTATTCCTCTCTGTACTACTGATCCATCCAAAATTGCCTTCTCATTTCGAAGATCGAAGGTATTATACAGAAGTATATGTAAATTTTCATATTTTATAATGGTACTTACTTATAATTATATACTATAGATTAATATAAATATGCTGAGCAGACCAAAAAGTTTGTATCATGTTTGTATACTCTATTTGGTAAACATTTCATGACATGTCGCTTTAAGGTTGACAACTTGTCGTCTTACTGCCTGTGACGTCACGAGTGACCGTTTCCCCCCTTGCCGCACTATCGATCGAGGCAACCTTCCTATACAAATTATAATCAGTTCTACCAACCTTGGTTATCTACCATTTTTGTTCATTTTATGAACTATAGTGTGGTAATGACTTCGAGTTTCTCTCTCTTCGTGAATCTACTATCATTTAATTAATCAAAAATACCTCCGCTCACCTCATGTGTATCTCCTCGTACTGCTTGTCATACGTCATGGTGCAAATGTTGCAGACGAACATCTGCCGCAGCACCCCCATGGGGGTCTTATCGTTCGCGCCCCCCTTTGCGATCGCCCCCCGGCACTTGGCTGCCGCCGCCTTCGGGTCGTGCATCCTTTGGTGCAGCTTCATGCTCTTGTAGGAGGGGAAAGTGGTGCCGCATTCGTCGCAGGGGTGGGGGCCCAAAGTCACGATGCGCTTCTCCTTAGAAAAACAAGTTTTTTCTGTGACGGGAAAAAAGTTGGCATTTCATCTCTGTTGGCAGGTTATAAAATGTCACTTTCCATAAATTACTTTTTTCCCGTGGGAAAAAAGTGAGTACATTTTTCCCGTATACCGGGTGACACAGGAGACATGTAGCAGCCTGTAGTTTTTTTATTTGAAGAGATAAAATTTTGAAATTCACAGGGGGTATATAATAAATGGTAGCGCAATTTACGAACTCCACGACAATTCTTTTCAACCACCTGTTTGACCGGAAGTGACCCCAACTTTTTTTTTTCGATGTCACCCTGTACATTTGTTCAATCTATCTTTTTTGCCTTGAAATTCTCTATCCAACCATGTATCACAAAGTGGCATTTATTTTTTAATTCGCTGTTGAATTCGCGAAAATCACGAACCAATAGATGGCTCTATTTAACGTCAAATCAACGTCAAATTTCAAACTGAGTATGAACAACAAAAACATTGCCGTATGCACTCATTGCTAATTGGATATTTCGAAATCATTTTGCAAAATAGTGAATAATGAGTTGACTTCGTGAAATACGTACAAGGTTTCCAGTATGGAAAAATTACTTTTTGTGCAGAGAAATTGCTATTTGGATGTGGATAATGGTGGTATTCATCATTGATATCACACTACAATTCCACAGTTTTCAAACATATGGAATGGTCGGAATGGTCCACTCAACACTTGCATGGACTGGAAACAATCAGCTATTACAAATAGGTATGAAGAAATAATTGAATTCATCAAGAAATATCACTGGCTTTTATGAAGGAGATGGAATTCTAGTGAAGGGGCTGGGGAAAGAAGATATGATTGGAAAGGCTGCTCAAAATGAACAATATCATCGATTTACATGAACAAGGATCTCCAGCAATTGAAGACTTGGAGTTATTCTCAAGATCAAATCATTGCAACCAACATTTATACAAGGATTCTAACTGTGCTTCAGAAAATGTATATTATATTATTATAAGGTAGGTACTGGCTTCTTCATTGTAAACAATAAAAGTTCATGCAATAATTCGAGTTTTTTCATCAGGGAAAAATGAGGTTCTGGAATATGCACTTCAACAAATAAATTATTTTCAAATAAAACACAGAAACTCAAAACAATGGTCGCCATATTTGTTGTTCATACTCGCAAGGCTTGTAAAGTTAGCCACCAGAGGCCGCACACTTCGTGATTTTCGCGAATTATTTTTTATTCAAAAAGAATAAGTTGGCTGTGACATGAATTCGATGATGTATCGACACTTGGTAGGCTTTGAAATTCAAATATCATTAGTAAACCGATATTATTCAAAATTTTTGATATTCTGATCAATGTATGCAGGTTGTCAATAGCTTGTTTGAGTCAAGATGAAAACCTTCGAAAATAACTCATGATATTGACGAATCTAAGATAGGAACATATTTTTTAGGATTCAGCTACTCGTACAGAAACAACAGCGAATTAAGCAATAAATGCCACTTTGTGATACATGGTTGGAATGAGAATTTCAGGGCGAAAAAGATAGATTGAACAAATGTACAGGGTGACATTTAAAAAAAAAAGTTCGGGTCACTTCCGGTCAAACAGGTGGTTGAATAAAGTTGTTGTTAAGTTCGCTAAGTGCGCTACCATTTATTATATACCCCCTGTGAATTTCAAAATTCTATCTCTTCAAATAAAAAAACTACAGGCTGCTACATGTCTCCTGTGTCACCCGGTATATATTACATATATAAACGCTGTTGATAGCTTTTGTTGTGCTATAGTTCCGAAAAAATGAGTCAATATAACCGTCTCCGAGAATGAACTGCAAGTTCTTTTATCTTCCATTCGACTTCGCGATTATGTATATTACTAAACAACCACTAAATTCGCAATTTTTTTAGATCAAATCACAGAATCAGACTGACAGAAGTGACATCAGATATTTGATTACTTCAAAAGAATGATTAAGATGCCTACAACGCAGGTGTCCCTACTGTTAAAAACTTAAAATTTCACGTCGATAATTTTCAGATTTCAAAATAATGTGATATCTTCTCAATATTGATTCATCCTTTCTTCTGTCACAGAAAAAAATAGTGTATTATACACGGAAAAAATATTAGATTTTAGCTCACGGTTTTTTGTCCTTGTCCGCTACGCGTAGGGAGACAACACAACCTGGAGCTAAAACCTACTACTTTTTTCCCTTGTATAATAAACAACCATTTTCTTTCTTTCATTTTGTTCCGAATGATCAGATTTTTTTCTCGATAGCGGCAACACTGCTTGGATTGGACAATACGCATATGGTGTGCTACGTCGCATCTTCGTAAACATCACTTTTTTTATGTTCAGGTTCCCACGAAAAGGGATATCCTGTAATGTTCAGAGAACATCGTGAGAACCAAGGGAAATGAGGTAGGAATTGGTGTTCTTCTTAAATTTCTGGAGCTCTAAGGTAGGATACAGATATCGCGACACACACTGTATGGCGCTGCCATCTATAGTCACACCGTTGATTGATATATTACGCTTACGCTGGGAAGATGCCCAACCTGTGTTATTTGCGAGTCGATGCCCCGCTCATCCCCTCGTCTATCGTTTAGCCACTGTGAGGTAGCGACTCCACTAGGCACACAGAACATGTCTGAACTAATTGTACAGATTACTACACTTTTGTACAGAATTACAGATCCCATCCCACCGCGAGCTATCGCCGTCTATCGCTCCAGAAATTTTTGTTTATCCTTGTCTTCTACGATGAGACCCGACCCGCCCGACCGGTTCCGATAAAAATTGTTTGCTACGTCGGTGAATCCCATGGACGTATATGGGGAATCCGCAATCCGCAACAATAACAACGGGTTGCGACACAGCCGTCTTCAACTATCTGTGGTTGCGAGTATTGATTTTTCCCTCGGTTCCTTGCGGAAGAGAGAAGAACATATTATATGATCTCTCACTCAGTTGGGTTCCTACTCCGTGGCGTTTTTTTTAAATTCCCTTGTGAATAACTTCCAATATATATGTATATCTGGAAGAACATCTCACGCCTTTTTCGTTGATTATTTTTTTCACTCAATTTGTATCCATATTAAAGTTTTGTAATATAATCAATCTGAATGTGATAATTTCTTGAGTCTCATCAGTAGATAAAAAATAAATAGTCAGATATCTTAGAATCTTTGATTGTTATAATGGTTCACTATAAAAATGAAATAAAATACATCATCTCTAATAGGCATAATATACAGAGTGAGTCATAACTATTGGAACATATATAGAATTCATTTATTTATTGGATCACAAGAGTTGAAGCTGCAAGCTTATGTACCATTTTTTACAGTATCTAGTTATTGAAAAATATGAATTCTTTTTTGGTATATTTAAAGAGATAAAAACAAAATCAACAGAAAACAGCTACATTTCCAGTCTATATGCCACGAAATATAATCATGAAATCGGCGTTGATATTTTGTGATATCAGTAACTTTTTCTGAGTAGAATCGATTTTGCCGCTCCAGAACAACGGAGTACAGACTACGGAACGCTCAGAATCTCCGCCCCAACAACACAGGGATGTTCTAGATACGTACCCTTTTTGTCACACGGTACAAGGACATAATTGGGGTATCCAGGGGATGTCCCGCAGTGGTTGTCCAGTGGACATCCGGCCCGGTACATCCATAGGTTATCCTATTCGTGTCCCTGGAATATCTGATATCTATTCACATCAGAGTCATTGACTTTCATCAAAATATTGAGTTGAATTTTTATGAAAATGTTTTTTTTTTTTCGGTAAATGATTGTAATGAAAATAAAGAAAATTGTCTCAGAACTTCTCAAGAAATGACCATTTTTCGCAAACAGAAATCGTAAATGCATAATGCCCCTCATTTTTAAACATCCACGAATGATGATAATTATTATACCCAAATCCTTACAAAGTTGTATTTATTCAGGTTACTGCAGTATAGTCCTGTTTAAAAATCTGTTTGGTACATTAATCTTCAGAAGGCATATCAGCCAATGGAGTAAGGTGTGTGCCTGATAAGCTAAAGGTCCCGGGTTCAAACCCTACTCGATCTACTTTTTTTTTCTTTTGTCGATGGGATGTTTTTTTTGTCAGCCAGCTGACGTCCCTGGGACGTCCCTAGTATATACTCTGTCCCGACAAAGGATATCTCTGGGGTGTCCTAGTATAAAATTAGGGACGTCCCTGGGAAGTCCCTAGGATGTACTTGTGTTGTTAGGGCGACAAACGATGGCTTGGCAGCCCTATCGCCGACAAACGCACCGACTCGGCCGCCCCACAAGAGTCAAAGGAAATTATTGGCACTCCAAGTTTCGGCAATACATATAGGTCGGATCATATACCAGTATAAAATACTTTGGATTGATAGCGGTATAGAATTGTCACGCAATGTTCCGCGTTTTTCATGTGATAAGTATCAGTGATTTCAATAATAAAAATTTCAAAAATTGTACATAGCTCTGAAAAAGAAAATGATTTGCGACAGCGAATTATAGTTTGATTTAGTAATTCGACATAATGAAATATGAAATTACACTCAAACAGACCCATTTAGATTCAGTTCTAGGGTAGAATACACTAAGGTGACAACACTGGTCCGGGTTCGTGAATTTCAATCAAATTTATGAGCAGCTTATATATTGATATCCGCTGACCAGTTTACTCCACAATCGCCAAAAATGGAAGCATTTATTGTTGAGACATTAAATTTTGTGATTCACTCCAATTCGATTTCTATAAACTTTTTTCATGATCTCACGTCCGTGATGCACTCGTTAGAAGCACATCCAGTATAACTATTACTAACAAATTCGAATTTACCGCCATATTAGTTAAAATCGTACTGATTGATCGTGGATTCGATACAAGCGTTCTGGATTATGGATTGTTTGATTGTTCCAAGTCGCACGCCATCTGCATTCCAATAGATTCTCTTCGTAAGTGGCGCACCTGCCAGTCAAATTACGAAGTATTACTCCGACATCGTTCGACACTATCGCCTCCACTATGTGAGATTTCGAACTATGGTACGCCATCTAGTTGTGAGATTTTTTTGGACCTCGTTTTGCCCCATAAGGTTGGGCATCTTTCCAGCGTAAGCGTAATATATCAATCAACGGTCACACGTACAGACCCCTACGTCTATACGCTACAAAGTGGTACTACAAGTAAATCACTTTGCTGACAGATGGCACTACCTGACATACTTGAGTGGAATTTTCTCATCACCTATTCAACTGCTGAATATCATAACTAAGATATCTAGGATGAACAGAGTTGCGGCAGAGAGCGGCTGATGAGACCTGGTGGGTCGAAACAGTACTGTCTCGCTCCTGCTGACAATTGGGACAACTCTGTTCATCCTGGATCTCCTAGCTATGAGATCTAGCAGTTGAATAGGTGGTGGAAAAATTCCACCCAAGTATGTCAGGTAGTGCCATCTGTCAGCAAAGTGATTTACTTGTAGTACCACTCTGTAGCGTATAGACGTAGGGGTATGTACGTGTGACTATAGATGGCAGCGCCATACAGTGTGTGTCGCGATATCTGTATCCTACCTTAGAGCTTTGCCACAAGATGGTTACAACATGACTACAACTTCATGTTATACCCTGCGTATTCATGAAAGTTTTCTCACTGTAATTCACAGAAAATGATAATTTCAATCAGTGTATAATTGAAAGATTTTCTCTCCACTTCGAGATTGATTTCAGTTGCATTTTATTCCCAGAAGTGAAAAGTTACAGTAGGAATATAAAAACAATGAAATCCTCACTCAAAAAAAGCACATAGCCCTACTAGTAAGATCATTATCCACAGATACATCCAGCTTTGCGGACTTTTTCTCTTTCATAAACACATGTAAGTAGATAAATCGACTACAATACATACATCTCAAATACCTACTTTGTGAACATCATATTCACTCAACTCAATTTGCAATGTTTATTTTAATACTGAATGGTAATGAAATGCAAACTAACGTAACCTCAAAGAGGCATTTTCAAAGAATGATTTGGTGAAGAGGCTGTTAAACCTCATCAAGGTAGCGAACCTGTTCACCTAAGTCAACAGCATGATCAGGAATACAATAGGCCCAAAGGCTGCAGTGTTTTGGGCTTCAAACCCTGACTGATCATTCTGCTATTAATCAATCAATCAATCAATCAACCTCCAATTGGAGCATTTTTATTTTGCGAATATCATGTATTTCAAGTAGTGAAACATACTTTATTGAAGGGATATCTACTGAGAAGCTCCTTCGAATCACAGGAGTACAGGAATAAACAGTTTTCTTTGCTCAAATCACTATAAAAACATCGAAATGATACAAAGAGGCAAATGAACCATTTGAAAACAATGTACTTTCATATAGTTCCACAACCGGCTACTTTGGCTGCGATCTTAAATTCATGTGGCCTATAAACTACTAGAACTCCTTGTGAAATTGAAGTTTGGTGTATGTACCGGGTGTACCACTAAGAAAGGACGCCGGCTGTATCTCGGAAACTATTTGCCACACAGGTTTCGGAAAAAATATATATGATAGAAGTGGCCACGAAAAATCTCTGGAAAAAACGGGTTTTTATGAAAATTTGATATATCAAGACATATCAGAAACACTTGTTCCATGTTCTCGAGTTGATTTTCAATCATATCCGATCAGAAAGAATTGCGCTAGCTCTTTAAATAAAAGAGAGAGGGAAGGATGAATAGTACTCTGTAAAAACTCTTAGAACTACAGTTTGGTGTAACGGAATTAAGCGATCTTGGTCTCATTATGAAGGTTTTTTTCAGATCTTCCCGATGAATCACGAATCAAGTCGATTTAAATCTCGTGGTGGCCACTAGATGGCATTGTTTGAAAAATAAACCGATTTGCCATTTTTTTTTCAAGAATTTCAAATGTAACCATATATTTTTCATGCTATGATATGGAAGTAAAGTAAACGAGAAGAAAAATGGTGAAAACCGCGAGTTGATACCTCTTGAAGAACCGGAGAAATACTCGGAATAACATTAAAATTTAAACTGTTAGCATGTCAAATGCCTCCTCATTCGTTATCGGCATTTTGACAAATAAGCAATCCACAGTGAAAACTTCCAATGGAACTTCAATTATATTTTGACGTTTCTTTCATTCAAAGCCAACTTGCCTTTTCTCATTCCTGAGCCACTACTCACTACTTACATTTCAATTAGCTATGTCATTACTAAGAGTCTCCTTCACTATTGTGAGATATAACAGCAGTTTGTGAAACCAAAATAAATTAATTATTGAAATCATAATTTCATAGATACAAGATATTTCTGATGACGATTATTGAAGTTAGATTCCTGTGGTGAATATTTTCATAATATTATTTCGAGTATTTCACCGGTTCTTCAAGAGGTATCAATTCGCGGTTTCCATCATTTTTCTTCTTGTTTGCTCTACTTTCATATAAGAGTAGAATGAATATATGGTTCCATTTGAAATTTTCGAAAAAAATGGAAAATTGTGTGATTTTTCAAACGATGCCATCTAGCGGCCACCACAGGATTTAAATCGACTTGATTCGTGATTCATCTGGAAGAACCAAAAAAACCCTTCATAATGAGACCTAGATCGTTGAATTCCGTAACACCAAACTGTAGTAATGAGAGTTTTTTCAAAGTACTATTCATCCTTGCCTCCCTCTTTCATTTAAAGAGCTAGCGCAATTTTTTTATCGAAATGATTGGAAATCAACTCGAGAACATGGAAAAAGTGTTTTTGACATGTCTTGATATATACAATTTTCATAAAAACCCGATCATTGAACTGGCCAATGCAATTACTCCCTCCAGGGGCTGTCCTGGAAACTCGAAAATAATTTCCAGAGATTTTTCTTGACCACATTCATCATTCATATTTTTTTTATGAACCTGTGCGGCAAATAGTTTCCGAGATACAGCCGGCGTCCTTTCTTAGTGGTAAACCCGGTACACAATTTTGACCGCGGCTCACCCCTCGAGTATTAGAAATTATTAATTAGTATTATACCTTGGCATCCGCGTCCTTGGGTATGTGAATTCGCATATGCGCATTCAAGGATTGGTAGTTGTGGAAGACGGCCCTGCAATGGGCGCACTTGAAATTGTCATTGGACTTGTCCGGATTGCAGATGTGTTTCATGTAATGGTCCATTTTGGGAAATTGCAGGAAGCACCTGAAACGGACACCGAAAGTCTCGAATTTATACAGGGTGCCCGTTTTTCGAGCTCCACCATGGGGATCTCAGTTATCATGAGAGATACGAAGTCGGAAGATACTGTTACGACCCTGGCAATCGATCCCAGCTACCTGCGGAAGTAAATAAACCGTATTTCTTGGAATAGAAATCGACGGCTGTTGAGATGACTCGAGAAGATTATCGACCTGTTCACGATATTTCGAGTGGAATCTAGACGTTTTATTAGGTAGTATAAATAGTTGTTGTTAGGGACAGGAAGAAACGTCTTTATTTGGAAGCGTTATAATAACGATCGAAGAAGTGTTGTGAATCGGAAGTGTTTAGTACGAGTATTGTAATTATTGTATAGTAGTGTTCAGAATAAATTGTTTCAAGTGTTATACCGAGTGTTAAGTTATTACGGACCCAGAGTAAAATCGTAACAATACGTTTTGGAAGTAATTCGCGCATTTCGATGGGAGGCGTAATAAATCTGAAGCATATCACGCTTTTCTTCATTCGTTAACGGCATTCTTGTAAATTAGCTCAAGAATTCAATAGTTCTGCTCAAACTGTTAAAACTCAGTTTGTTAAACAAAATTGTTGCCGTTCTTTCCAAAGCACTCTTCGCAAAAATGTTATTTTCCAATTTTGATCAGCATGTAGGATTCAATCATATCGTGCGATACATCATTGTAATCAGGTAAAAGAAGCCTTTTCAAAAATGCGAAAATCCAATATGGCGCCCATAAGAAAAAACAAAGTTGAGTGTTGTAAATTTGGCATCAAGAACGTTATGGAAATTACGATGACAGATTTAGATTTCTTGTGAAAAAGTGTCTTAAGAATGTCCCAGTCAAAAACGTCTAGGAATTTTGGTTTTCGCTTGAAAAAATAAAAACGAAAATTACAAATTTCCGTTTTTTTCTTCCAATAATTCAGAAAATTGTTCAGCATCAAAATGCGCAACTTTGCCCTAATTTAACCGACTTCGTATCTCTCATAATAACTGAGATCCCCATGGTGGAGTTCGAAAAACGGGCACCCTGTATACAAGCGCCTCTAGTGGCACAATTTGAGAGCTTTTTAATAAAGTACATTTTGAGTTCAGAATGAAATTTTTTTACCACCCTGTATCTATTTCAATTAAATATCAATCTATAGTACATGAAAAGTTAAGATAGGGTCATGAGAACCGTTTTGCTCAATTATAAATGGTTTCGACACAAAAAATTCTTAAAGTTGAAAAATTTCGATTTTTCACAACCTATATCTATGTTATCATTCCCGCTAGACCCCAAGTGTGATAGATCGATGGAATAAGCTCTTCAGAGTGAATCTGAGAATGGAATGATATGCAGGGTATGATGTACGGGGTGTTCCTTTGAATAAATCAAAGTTGTTGCTACTTTTCAATATAAGCGGCAACGTCGCAATGCTGAGAATATTTTTCAGAATAATCGTGAGTTGCGTTCTCCAGAAACGTCTAATGGATTTGGGTTAGGTTGTTTTTGACTGATCGTTGATTACATCAAAAGAATGATGAAAAAATTCAAATTTCATGTTGATAATTTTCTGATTTCGAATTTATTTAATATCTTCTCAATATTCATTCCTGCTTTTTTCTGTCACAGAAAAAAAAGTGTAGTATACATAAGGAATATACTAGATTTTAGCTCACGGTTTTTTGTCTCCCTCCGCTATGCTGAAGCTTAAATCTACTACTTTTTTCCTTGTATAAAAAATAACTACACTCAGTTCCAAAAAAAGTGACGCACTTGATATTCTTCTTGAAAAAAAAAACAAACAATAGTAGGCCGATTTTCATTTTATAATATATTTGTTGGTAGGTAATGCATTTGTCTTAAAAAAAAAAATAAAGAGGTGAAAATTTTTTCAAAGCCTCCTTGATGGTGGTGGAATAACTTTAACCATGATTTATTTTTAATTTTTGACTCACCCTGTGTGTTAATTGAGTAATGGCATAGAAAGTGCCTATACCCTATACGAAAGAGGCTTCTTTTGCCAGCATTTTGTTTTTTCATTCATTGATTTATCTCTAAAATTTTCCGAATTACAGCTTTTTTTGCTGAATCCTTGCAGATTACCAACTTTCTGAATTTGTCGAAAAACAATTTTCTAATGAAATAAACTGATACCAATAATTTTAAAAAACATTTTTATTAAACACAAAATTATAAATTGGGATGACTGCTTAATATCGTGTATTGCCTCCTCCAGCAACTCTAAGAACTTCTACGAGGCATACTGGAAATTAAGTTGCTTATGGTTTCCATTGGTATACGATCCCATTCTTCCACTAATGCATCTGCCATTTCTGCGAGACTTTCCGGAGACCCTCGCGAGAACGTACCCTTCTCCCTAATTCATCCCACAAATGTTCTATAGGATTAATATCGGGGCTTCTCGCAGGCCATTGAAATGTGGTAATACCAGTAGCTTCTAAGAAGTTTCGCACTATTGCTGCGGTGCGTGGTCGGGCATTATCCTGCATCAATATAAAATTATTGCCCAATAACTCTGCATAAGGTAAGACATACTGCTCTAAAATGTCAATTTAAATTTGGGCATTCATCGACTGCCTCGCCGGAAAACATAAAGGGGTGTCTTTCCATTCATTGAAATCCCTCCCCACACCATAACGGACCATTAAAACTTCCGCATTCTGTTATTAAATTTTGATTAAACCGTTCACCAGTTCTTCTCCACACTCTTTTTCTTCCATCCACCATGTTAAGGCCAATCCTTGACTCATCCGTAAACAAGACATTCGACCATTCAGGAATATTCCACTGTCCATAATTTTCAACAAAATTTCTTCTAGCAGCACGATGTTCGGGCAATAATTTGGGACCTTCTGCAGGTCTCGTAGCTTTTTAATAAACTTCTTTTAGACGTCTACATACCGTCTGCTTACTTATTGCAACATCACGAGTTTGGCGAAGATCTTGCTGAACATTTATCGCAGTATTTGATCGATTCCGTAAAATCCGCAATCTCAAGAAGCGATCAACTCTTGGAGAAGTTTTTCGGGGGCGACCAGAACCGACCCTCCGAGCGGTGCTTCCTGTTTGTTCGTACTTGCGGATTGCTCTACGAGCAGTTGCTTCATGAACTCCCACTGCACTAGCGGCGTAACGGTTACTACGCCCATAGTTCACTAACTCAACTAATCTTGCTACTTGTTCAGGATTTATTTGAGGCATTTTATGTAATTTTAGTCGATAAAACAAGACACTTAATTAATGACACAACGACAAATGGTCAAATATGGAGATATACAACAAATTAGTTGCTATGGCAACGGCATTGGTTTTTTTAAAGACAATGTGATCCTACCAGAGTACAACCCAATCAATTTTGAGTACTCTGATCCTTCAATAAACTTAATTTGTGGGATAAGCGTAAGGTATCAGCAAAAAAGATAAAGATAAATCAATTAATAAAAAATCAAAATGCTCGCAGAAGAAGCCTCAATTAACACACAAGGTGAGTCAAAAATTAAGAATAAATCATGGTTTGAGTTATTCCACCACCATCAAGGAGGATTTGAAATAATTTCCACCTCTTTATTTTTTTTCAAAGACAAATGTATTACCTACCAACGAATAGAAAAAAAAATCGGCCTACTATTTTGTTTTTTTTTAAGAAGATAGGTCAAATATCAAGTGCGTCACTTTTTTTTGGAACTGAGTGTATTTTGACACTGAAATATCGCATTAATGAGCCGTTTTTTGATAGTGTTTGAAGAGAAAGTACAATATTACCTACTCAACAATTCAGCCCTCTTTTTTTTTGTGAAAATTATCATGTAAACCTTTATACCCTTCAAATACCTGGGACACTGGTGGATTTCAATAACAGAATTCCTGTCGTCTATCCTGCTAGCTTCTTCCTCGCCGATTTTTATTATCCGTCCGTCGGTCATCACATAATATTCCGTGATGGGAATTTCATTGGAATGCTCGTTCAACCAAAATTCGTTGATTTTTCGACCGCCCCGAATGAACTCTTCTTTTTTATTCCCACCATCATCGGATTCTGCGTCGGGCATTTCCATGTCGAGATCGTTCGGTGATTCGACGCTGTCTTCTATTTCGAAAGTGTTATCTTCTGTTTCTTCTTGTTGGGTGTCTTCAGTTCCGTTCTCTCCTGTATCCTAAGGAAAAATATGTATTGAGATTGGGTACGAAGGATCATTGAATTAAATTGCTGCTTGGCAATATATCACCAATTTTATTATGATGGTTTTTTATCTAATATACAGTGTGTCCATTTAGTGCGTAATTCTTCGATATCTCGAAAGCCATGACCTATAGAGAAAAACTTTGGGAAAAAAACTTTTTCAGTTACTAATGTTGCTCATTTCAAAAATATTTTAAACATTACTGGTTATTTTATAAAAGCGGGGCAACTCAAAGAAGAGTTTTTTTAAATTGTACACCCAGTATTGTTCATTCGGAATTAATTCCGCCGAGGTTCACCTTCACATCGCTGTGAAAAAAATTGAAATCGGTTGCGGCGTTGCCAAGTTATAATTGATAAATCTATTTTTACCATTATTGAAGAGTCATGTTGAATTGGGCATGGTATATTCATTTATTCAAATTTTGAAAATATTTTTGACATACGGTAGAAGCAAGGTCCCACGAATACCAATCCAGTAATTTTGCGACATGATATTCAACAGGGTGCTCAATTTTGCATTTAGAAATGTGCAAGATTCAGATGACATTCATCAGAATTTTTCAAATGGAACACCCTGTATTTTTATACAAAAATTCCTCCCGACATCTTTCGCCTTTTTATCGCTGGAGAAAAAAATGTAAATCGGTTGCGGCGTTGTCAAGTTATGGATAATTTCCTTATTTTTACTACTATTTCGGGGTAATTTATACGTCATAGTTATTTCATTTATTTGTATTGTGGAAATATTGCGTTGCTACGGTATAATCAAATTTGTTCATTGACCATTCATATATTTTTTCACGATAGGAACATTTACAGGCTCTCCAAGTTTGAATTATTTTCGGAAAACACTTATATTTGTGTGATGATCTGTCAAAAATCGCCACAATCAAATATATATTGGATTGATTCGAAATTTTGCTGACTTCCCTCCCAAAAGCCGCGTAGTAGAGACATATTGTTTGTATTATAATGTTTACCTCCTTCAAGTTAAATGGAAATTTGGATTGTGGTAATAACGACAATAAAAATGGCCCAAATTTCAAAAAATTGTCCTAATTTTTCACAATTCGCATTTTCATTGTTTGTATTGTAGAAGTTGTTTCAAAGACAGGCGTTGCTTTTGGTATGTTTGTTTGTTTCACATACACACACTGGCACAATTAGGGGAACGGGTAAAATTTACACTAAGTTTGACATCAATTTTCTTTCGACCTGATCGCTCGATTCAAATTTTTTTCTTCACGAAATGTAGCTTCATTCTTCATGAATACATCTGAGAAATAATTACCTTCAAACGATGAGTCTTTCCATCATATACAGGGGTGTAAAGAAAGTACGGATTTTTCGGTATTTTTTTAGACATCCTGTGGACTGAACCACTGATAATAGAAACGATTTTTCAACACCAAATTGGAGTCCAATCTATTCCGAATATTTTCGTTCTTTATTTATCTTGATATCCCAATTATTCAAGAAAATACAGAGTTTCAAAGGAAAGGTGGATATTGGTATCAATTTTACACCTCAAAACTCAAATTGGATCTGAAAATGTGTCGTTTCTTAACTGACCTAACCTAACCGTGACTAAACCTCTGACATAGGAGACAGAAGCAGTAAAATCAAATTGTTCATTTTGTTCACCTCGGCGATATAGTCTTTCCCTGCCATCTATTGAATTGGTGCAGATGCGGCTCTCATATGTTAAAAGAACATTGGCCCACTGGTCATTTTCAATTAATACTACAGCCCTCGCCACATCAGTAGGAGCATACGTTGAATTATCATTAATCAAATTTATGAATTTGGAATCGCTTGACTTTGACAATAATTAATGACATTAACAAAATAGCCAACGTTGATTAACAAAAATAGCATTTCACCAAAAGAACATTGGAGCAACTTTTATCACCCCCTGCATATTCATGAGAGTATTCGTATGTGTCTTTAAACAGTAAACCGATAGGTAAAACTGTGAACAATTCTCATCTTGAAGTAAAAATCCTCACAGAAACAAGTTGAAAAACAACACGTTCTCCCCAGTTCGAGTTTTGAGATGCTAAAATTAATACCAATATCCACCTCTTCTTTGAAACTCTATATTTTCTTGGATAATTGGGATATCAAGATGAATAAAAAACGAAAATATTCGGAAAATCGTTTTAATTATCAGTGGTTCACTCCACAGGATGTCTTAAAGAATACCGAAAAATCCGTACTTTCTTTACACCCCTGTATATGATATAAAGACGAATCGTTTGGAGGTGGTTATTTCTCAGATGTATTCGTGAAGAATGAAGCTACAATTCGTGAAAAACAAATTTGAATCGAGTGATCGGTCCGAGAGAAAATTGATGTCAAACTTAGTGTAAATTTTACCCGTTCCCCTAATTGTGCCAGTGTGTGTATTATTTAAATCATAAGTAACAAGATTACGGAATATTTCAAATTTGGACGATACACATATCGCAAAAATACCTGAATGATCTATGTAGAACCTCAAATATCATGTGGCAAGCAATATTCCCACAGTCAAATCAAATAAAGGAACCATCATGACGTACAAATTACCCCGAAATAGTAGTAAAAATAAGAAAATTACTCATAACTTGAAAACGCCGCAACCGATTTTGATTTTTTCTTCAACGATGAAAAGGCGAATGATGTCGAAATGAATCTGTGAAGAAAAATACAGGGTGTTCCATTTGAAAAATTCCTATGATCGTCGTCTGAATCTTACAATATTCAGAATGTATATTTTTGCACCCTGTAAAGGATTATCTCGCAAGATTGACTGAATTGGTATACGTGAGACCTTGCTACTACTGTATGCCAAAAATATTTTCAAAATTTCAATAAATAAATATACCATACACAATTGAACATGACCCTTCAATAGTAGTAAAAATGAGTTTATCAATTATAACTTGGCAACACCGCAACCAAATTTAATTTTTTCACAGCGATGTAGAGCTGAACCTTAGCGGAATGAATTTCGAACAATACTGGGTGTGCCATTTAAAAAAACTCCTGAAAAAGTTTTTTCTCTAAAGTTTTTCTCTTGTGATAATTGATTTCGAGATATCGAAGAATTACGCACTAAATGGACACACTGTATAAAATTCTCCTGTCCCGGTCACGGTGTTAGTGGTCGAACTCCTCCGAAACGGCTCGACCGATTCGTATGAAATTTTTTGTGCGTATTCGGTAGGTATGAGAATCGGTCGTAATTTATTTTTTAAATCGAAAATTCAAGATGGCGGATCCAATATGGCGGACGAGTATTGTTATCCGATTTCATTCAAAATTGGTATTTGGAGGTTTTCGGGGTCGGAGATTATGATTCTTTCATCAAATTTTGGAAATTCAAAATGGCGGATCCAAGATAGCGTACGAGTTTTGTAATTATGGTCAGATTTCATTCAAAATTGGTATCAGGGGGTTTCCGAGGTCAAAATTAGGAAATTCAAAATGGCGGATCCAAGATGGCGAGCGAGTTTTGTAATGATGATCCAATTTTATTCAAAATAAGTATCTGAGGGTTCTCGGGGTCGGAGATTATGGTTCGTTCGTCAAAATTTAGAAATTCAGAATGGCGGATCCAATATGGCGGACGAGTTCTGTAATTATGGTCAGCGATTCTATTCAAAATTGGCATCTGGGGGTTTTAGAGGTCGGATATATGAATCATGGTTCAAGTTTCGTTTAGCTGAAATCAGATATGGAAAATTTGTTGCTATGGCAACCATTGTCATGGTAACAGGTAAACAGAATACAAAATCCCGTGGTGAGGAAATGCATGGTTGCCAAGTTGTATCGGGTTTAGGATAGCTGAAATCAGTTATGGAAAAACTGTTGCCATGGCAACGATCGTCATGGTGAGGAGTAAACAAAAACCCGATTCCCGCGGTGAGGAAATGCGTGGTTGCCAAGTTGTATCGGGTTTAGTTTGGCTGAAATCAGTTATGGAAAAACTATTGCCATGGTAACGAGTTAACAAAAATCATATTCCTGTTATTTGTGTCCCTTAAATTTGGACTTGCAATAAGGTTTTGCTGGCACCAAACTTTGACCAGAGCAAATTCATAACTCTTTCTGATTTATCGGAAGAGAAAGTTCGCCAAACGGTGACATTTTGAACTGACACTCTTGTGACATTTCTCAATCAATAAATGGAAAAATCAGCGCAATCTTCGACCCTCAACTTTTGTTTCACAAAAGTTCTTGCTAGTATTCAAACAATAACTTGATTTGAATGAATACCCTTCTTATCAATTTCTTGAAGACTGTTCGTCGTTGATTAATTCCAAAATCACTACTTCTCTGACAATCATATATGGAAATAACGTCAGGAAATCACAAATATATTTCTATTCATATTATTTGAAGTATTTCTTTGATCAAATCACACAAATAACCTGTCAAATTATGTCCAAAAAACAGGATTCCTATGCCAAAATATTCTGAAAAACTAGTTCAATCCTTTGATTCCTTAGGTGCGTTTTTTTTATTTTCTACTGGTGGCAGTAGAAGTGACGACCAATAAAACGATGTGATTCATATTTGAAAGTTGTGACATTCAGCTGATCTTTTTATGGATAATTTCGGGATTTTGCTGTTCATCAAGTAATACCGCAAATTTATTTTTGAACATTCAGAAGTAATTTCAGGATGAGTTCAGAAGTTTTTGAAAGTATTCTGGGTAGAATTGAGAATAATTCCAAAATATTTCCTGAGGCGAGTTCACTTTACGGCAATTTTAGGTCAGATTTTGAGGTTAGATTATATAAAATACCACCATTTCCGCCATTTTATATACTCCCTCCACAATCGTCTTCCTGTCATTCCGTATGAGAAGACGGAATGAAAAGTTGAAACCAGTTTCAGAATTTCGTTCAATAAAACGCACCTTTTGTAAACAAATGAGAAGAGTGAGGTTGTGTTTCAATGTTTTACAGAAAAGTGAGGTTGTGTTTCAATGTTTTACAGAAAAGTGAGGTTGTGTTTCAATGTTTTACTTCCAGGGTCAAGTAATTATACAGGGTTATACATATTTTCTTGGGAATACTTCCATTGGCAAAGAACTCTAATGCAGTGGTAATTTAGAGAGCCGATACAGTCATGAAGAGGAGATAAGATGAGTATACATACCTACCAGATTATTTGATGACCCTGCCTCAATATATTCCAAAGATCGGCATGATGAGCAGTGCATTTATAAAAATATATTTCAAGTATTTGAAGGGAATTCATATATTTATTTTTCTGAACAAAAGAAAAATCTACAAAACATTTTGGAAAATTTGGATATCTAAATTGTGGAATATTTATATCTGCTATCAGTAGTTTGTGTTTGGGCTATTTCTGGTATTCTTTGCCAATCTCAAGAAACACACAAAGATGAATAAGTATTATGGTAATTTAAAATTTCAATTTCAATTTTTAAGGGGCATAAAAAACTATGAGGTGCAAGGCATTGATAATAACTTTCAGCATTTAGGTATTAGTGAGCAATATGAGAAATATATGGGCAGTATGGCAATAAACTAGCATTTAATGCTGAAACTAGTAATAGGTAGGTATACATAATTTAGAAGCATGTCCTCCTCCTGGAGATCAACCAAATAACCAAAGATAATGCTAACAAACCAACTTACATTACAAAGTTACTCACCTTCCTGATTGCTTGTTTATTGAAAGGTATTGGCTTGATTCAGCCTTGATTCATCAAGTTATTGTGTCAAAATTGCCTATATTCAATTTGCATTGCGAAATATGATTTCATGAACACTGAGAGCCTAGTTCTGTAAATTTTTTCTACAATATCATGAGTAGGTAACAATAGTTTTTGGCCTCTCTTAGCCCCAAAATAAAAATTTTAAGCTACTGGTATATAATTGGTAATGCATTATGGAAATGTCAATTTGAATACCACTAAAAATATATTCATTAGCCTCATCATAAGCTTACCAAAACAACATCTTCTCCTTCATGATACTTATCCAAATGTTCTTGGACAGAGGTGAATTCCATATTATTACACATTTCACACATGTACCTACAATCTGCATTTTTATCAACATCCAACATGTTTTCTGGATTGTTTTCACCAATGGATTGTACTTCATTTCCTTGCAATTCTATCTCACCAGCTGCAATAGGTGCTTCTGTTTCAGTCCCACATTGGGAAGGATCATCAATCTTGGGAATTTCTTGTTTAACCAAAGCGACATCAACTGGTGTAGAAACATCATCTTTTTCCTTGCATTCTCTTCCAACATGTTCAGCCAATTCCAAAACATTTTCAAATCTCATGTTACAAGCAGGACAGAGTACATTTTCAACAACTGCCAAGATGTGATATTTCAGTGAATCATAGGAAGAAAACTGCTCATCACAGCACAAAGGACATTTCAAAGATAGGGTGCTCATGATTTGAATCCAAGAATTTCAAAGTTCTCCTCCAAAAACTTCTCTTCTGAAAAATAACATCGAAAACCTTCTAGGCTAGCTTTCTTCTTTGCCAAGATGAATGTAAAGTAAAAATTTCAGCGAAAAAGAACGTACACAACTTCACAAACACGAGGCAAGCGCACACAAAACGAACTTCATAGCAGTACATACACCATACATACACGAAACAAAATGACAGAATCAAGGTTGGTAGAATAGATGATTATTGTGGAGAAGGGTTGCCTGTTGCCAGGATCAGAAAATGCGGTGGAAGGAAGTGGTAATTACGTAAATATACTTGAAAAGGACTGTAGAATATACAGGTTGAGTAATAACTGTTGGGTCATAGACTAAGGGCGGAATATTAGGAAGTGGTATAATTCCTGACGTAATCGCATCCGAAATTTCATGTTGGGATCATAGAAATGTTGGATAGGTAAAATATACTTGAGAAGGATTGTAGAATATACAATGTCATGACTATTGGCACAGATAGACTAAGGGCGTTAAACATTGACTTTTCGTTTATTGCTAATAAATTCACTGTATATGAAATAGATTTGAAATATATCGTTCAGACAAGAGTACCAAAACTACGTAGAATTGATATCTGGATCATATTTCTTTGATCAGAATCACTAAAAAAGTTTCGTCAAAAAAAGTAACCAGTCGATTTCATCATCAAGAATCATCCACTTCGTGGCGCCTCCTATAACGAAATGTAAAATAATACTAACATAAAATGATATTGCCTGTTTGGAATTATTCTTTATTTGTGCCGATTTGATAACAATTGATGAATATACAGTGAAATTATTGAAAATAAAAAGGCTACTTCAACGCCCTGTATCTATTTCCACAGGAATATTTTAATAAGGTATATAAGGTGTTATCGCCATATTTTGATCCGGAAAATCCGCCCATAGCCTATGTCCCAATAGTTATGGCTCACCCTGTAGATTCCCATGGCACCGAGGCAACCTTCCACACACAATCAGAATTCTACCAACCTTGGACAGAATGACTTCTAGACACAGAACTGATAGAACAGAACCACAAAATCGGTACGTGTTGAGTGTGATTGAAATATCAAACACGGAACAATAACAAAGTATTCAATCTGACCTGAAATGAGACATCTAGAGGACGAGAAGAGACAGGGCGCAACAATCACTTCGAAAAAAAAATCCTATTTCACGATGCCTCATTTGAGGTCAGATTGAGTTCGTGCTAACAAAATGACAATGAACTAGTAGAGTTAGACGCGATAGAATGATCCAAAGAACGAACCACGAAAGTGCCTAAATCTTTCGAATCATTCCCATCACGTGATATGTTGAAATTCGTGGTTTTGATGATTATTTTTCGCAATAAAATAATTGTGGAGGATAAGTTTGGTCAGAGAGTTTTATTCAGGTCCACTAATAGCATGGCGTCAGCCCACTATTATCATTTGTGTAGTGATTCAGGCTTTCAAGGATGTTTTTCCTCCCTCTCGAGACCCCGAGGCTGTGGTCAATATTTTTCCTCTGGAAAATTGAATAAATGCAAGAAACAATAATATCCTTTTTGAATTCCAATAATATACGCTTGTTCATAATTACGAACGTACTTCTAATCAAAATTTTCCAATGCAGTTACACAATATACAAATCAATTCATGACAGAATAAGTGTCGAATTGACTCCACCTTTGTAATTTATAATGATCAGGATCGAAAGGTGGACCGCCTTAAGCACGATTTCAAGAATGATGCTTTCAAGAAATGCATTCCTTGATTATCATTTCATTTACAGATGACGGTGATAACAATTTTTTCACAAATAAACAGAAAACCACAAAGTTAAAGACTGTCTGTGATCCAATCATATATTTCTTCAATGTCCCCCCCTGTTATTTTTTGAATGGGTCAACTGAAAAAATTTGAACTTGGGGTGATGAAATTGATGCAGGAATACTATATTTTGGAGTAGAACATATATATACCTATTCATTTTTCTTGGTATTCGATCATTATGTGATCATCAAAGAATTATGTTTTTAATCTTATTCAACAACATATATCCTGTTTGTTCTATTAAATTTTTCAATTTGTTCATCAAACTTCTATAAAAAAAAACTGGTGTGCGTAGAACTTCTATGGTATAGGAGGTATAGGTATACACTGCTTATATGATTATGCCGGTCTTATAGTACGCGGCACCCGGGACGCGAGTTTGCCGTTTTACTCCCATCCCAGAAAACGTCCAACGTGCCTTTAGAATTTATTATCCCTTCAAAGATGTGTCATTCCCTCAGGGGCTCACGACTTGTGAGTACGGGAATGGCAATCCCGAGGTACCCTAGCCGGATACTCATTAATCTTCAACTTGTCTTCAACTTGATGGTATCCTCTTCACTCTTCAGTTTCCAATCTTTTTCTTCATCGGCCTCCCTTGGTCACTTCTCCTCTTTTCCTTCTCCCCTAAAGCCCAACCTCACCATAGTGCGGGGAGGACAAGCCGCGGCTGCTCGGCAGATTGAGCATTTTGGGAACATCTTTGCTGTCATCACTCAGATGGGACAGTTTTGTGGACATCTGAGTGCGAGAATGGGGCAATTTGTGAACATCTGCTTATGTGGCCGCGGATTGATAACGAGGCTCTGGCAATCCCCTCAGGGGCTCACAACTTGTGAGTACGGGAATGGTGAACCCGAGGTACCCTAGCCGGATATTCACCATACTTCAACTTGTCTTGGGTGATATCCTCTTCTCTCTTTCATTTTCAATCTTTCTATCGGCCTTTCTTGGCCAACTTCTCTTTTCCTCTTCCTCTCCAAGCCCAACCTCACCATCAAGTGGTGTGGGGAAGGCAGGCCGCGGCCGCTTGACAGATGAAGCATTTTGGGACCTTCTTTGCTATCTTCTGCCAGATGGGACAATTTGTGGACATCTGTGGCAGGGATGGGGCGATTTGCTGATGTCTGTCTAGGTGGTCAAGGACTGTTCAACGAGGCTCTGGCAACCTAATCCAAGCTGTGGGAACCCGTGGCGATGGATGGATGGCACCGAGGAATGGTGTCGCTAACGGGGCCTCTGGGAAACAGGGCGACATCCCAGAGTAAACAGCCTTAGCCCTGTGTAGGGGGCACCACAGGGCTGGACCAACCCCTTCCCCCGTCACTCGTAGGAGAAGGAAAGCTTTTGGCCTTCTTCGTAGACGAGAACAGGGAACGGAATAGCAATCTTCAGGGACCTGAACGAGAAGGGTCTTTCATATTGAAGTGGCCCTTAATAGGCACCATGAGTCGTATGTGGTAAAATTGATAATGGCATGTAGGTGAGATACAATGGGCCACTAGGCCTAAGTGTCGTCGGAGACATCGGTCAGACGAGCCTACAACTGTTTAGTGGGTATACCATGGAGGGGACTCCCACACTATCATATGGGGGATTGGACCCATATGATGTCTATAAAAGATTCCAACCACCTCGGCGAAAAAAAAAAAAAAAATGTGTCATGGAAAAAACTCCAAAGACCTGAAAGATTAGGAATATTTTTGAGTCTGAAGGGCAGCGCGTCCATCATAGCACCATCAGGTGGCAAGTCACCTCAAACCGGCACTGGTTTTTCCAAGAAGTAACGGTCGAGTGAACTGAAAAAAGATTTTTAAATTCTTCTTGAATTTATTCGAAGAAATATTCCAAAATAAGAAAGTCACCGAACTTCTGCAGAGAAAATAGTAGATTGTTTTATTAGGATCAAAAGTGACACTTTGTTTGACAAGCGAATTTTGCATTTGCGAGGCGGAGCGTTTAGCATGTGAAGTAACCACCAATGCCGTGCCATATGTATGCAATGCAATAAATATTGACAAATAATCCATGTGGTGAGAATATTCTATACCTACATTAACAGCAGGTTAGGTTTTCTAGGATGTTCGAATTGTAGTTTCAATATAAATACATCAACAGAGTGACACATTTGTGTATGGACCAGGTGCTCTAATGGCAAATACCGCGCCAGTGCCAGATAGGAACAAGACGTGGAAAATGTTAGGTTAGTGAGCATATCAACAATAATAATAGCGATAATTTATTCCTGTCTATACTACACTGTGTTTGACTTGATAATCAAATGAAGGTAAACAGTATCGTTGTTTGAGACAAAAAAACTATTGCTTGCTGTCATTATTCAAAAACAAGTTATCCATCCCGAGAATAACGAATGAAATACAGATCAAGCAAATGATTGAATCTTGAAGGCTTCTCTGATCAAAACAAAAATACTCAACTGAGATGTTTATAACTCCAATACTGGCAATACTTATAACTATAATAAGGTGTATTAATATCTCCAGCATCGGCATGAAATGCCAAATATGCCGAAATCGGAAACAAATCAGGTATGCATCTCAACCCAAATAACCAACCGTAACAATGTCGTTCATTCTTGATGACGTCCAGTACATCCTTTTTAGTTCCTAGGAGCTAAAGTTCAACTTTAGTTCCTAGGAGCTAAAGTGGAAGTTCCACTTTAGCTCCTAGGAACTAAATATGTTGCCTAGCAACATACCTATTTTTGTGTCAGTAATAGAAACGTCAATTTAAGAGCTAATTTTGGTATCAAAATGGACGACTTTTGTGTCGGTTGCAGAAAAAAAAATTACCCTGTACTCCACTGACTTGAGCGGCTCAGAAAGGACTTTGTCTCAGGTGAATCGAGGGTGAATCCCAATGCCTAGTCACGTCTCACGTCTCACGTCCTAGTTGAGTCGGCGCATTCGCATGTGCGGCACGCGTCGAAACGTCAACTTGCACCTCCGCCAAAACCGTTGAATACAGAGACCAAAGGAAGGAGCATCTTATTCGCATTCAGGGAATCTTAATTTCAACATGTTAAAAGTATTAGTATAATTGGAGGGCTCAATGTGGAACAATGACAAGTCACGAAAGTGTTCAAAAAGAGTTACTTGGTTGAAGCCACTACAAAACTATT